GCCCGGGGAGCCGCTCCTGTGCACGCGGTTCGCGCGCAGCCCCGTGGGCACCGGCTGGGCCCGATGCGGTGCGCGGGTGTCGGGGGCGCGAGGGTGGCAGCGGGTCTGGAGCGGCAGCCTCACACGGAGCCTGTTGGACAGATGCACGCAGAGCTTCCCCAGCCCGGCTTCCCCTGCAGCGCTCAGATCTCTCGCTGCGCCTGGAGCGGACGCCGCTGCCCCGTCAGCCTGGCCCTTCTCGAGGCCCCTGCTTCCTCCCCTCCATGCCTTCACCTCCCTGAAGCTTCCACCTGGACCCTTGCTACGCCCGGAGCTGTGTCTGCCCCACAATCTCTTGCTCATCTTTGTATCCTCCCTCGGCGCCTAAAGATGTGTGTGGAGTTAATGCTTTACAGCCGGCATTTGGATAAAGAGCACCAGCTTTTGCTTACTGTTCTTTATACTTCAGCCTGAATAGGACACTGACTTTTGTATTTGCTCTTACAAAAAAAACCTCTTAGTCCAGTGACAACCTTCGTTGAGAGGTGTGAATGTAACATACAACTGGTTCTTAAGCATCTCTGTGTTTCTCATTTCAGCTCTGGATCAGTCGAGTTACAGCTGCTTCCCAGGAACACGGCCTGAAGTACCCAGCATTCATCCTCAACTTGATTAAGGTATGGTCGAGGATGTGGTCCTGCCGAGATGTTAAATGTCTTCATAACCCGTCCAGTTGCCGCGGTCCCGCAGCGCGGGCAGTGGAATGTTAGCAGCCCAACATTGCTTTTGTTCTTGGAGTGGGGTTCTGGTGGGTTCGGGGACTCACCACACTGGCTCTGCCGGTGCCCCGCTGGTAGCAGAATTGGTAATAGGGTATGTGGCACCAAGACATAAGCCCTGGTGTTGCCCCATCAAGAGAAAAAGGTAGAAAAACTTGGCTTTAACTTTAAAGTTTACTTTCAAAGTTTTTACACTGAAAACATTCTGGTGAGGTAGCAGATCAAGTTGAATCATAGTCAAAAAGGAGGGAAACATCTTGGAGGGAATAAAGCAAGCATGTGCCACAGAATCTTGGTCACTTGCATCTGGTGAGTATGCTATTCCCTCTGCTTTTGTGTGCATTTACGTTTTTTCTTAAAAAGCTAGGGGGAATGGTTCCTTGTGCCAGGCCCTGTGTCTGGCACTTTACAAAGATCCTCGGGGTAAGTGTAGGTGCGACACCTCTGTTTTACTGATGGGAAACTAGGCTCAAAAGGAGAGGGACTCTGCCCCACAGCACAGGGGTCCCAGGTGGTAGAACAGGACTGACTTCTCCTGCACAGCTGCCTTTAACGTCAGGAGACCATCCCCCGTTCTTTCTGCACCCCAGACTCACTGGCACTGTGCATCCATTTTCTGTTGCTTCACCCGATGGATGGCTTTGGCTCTCTCGTGTAATGAGTGCCCGGTTTTGATCTTAATTCCTCTGCTTGTGCCTCACACACCTTTTCTGTGTCTCACTTTTCATCGTTTGTGAAATGGACATTGTGGTTTCCTCTTCCCAGCTGCCTTAAAGGGTACCCCAGGCCAGAAGTCTGTCTGACAGCCCTTGGTTCCCCCCCCCGCCCCCCTTCTCCTCCCGCGTCCTGCTTGAACAGCACTCACCGCTCCCTCTCCCCCACTGGTGCTCAAGTGGCGTGTGCTAAGGTGATTCAAATCACAGGGTGCTTAGCCGTGTTCCAAGTCTTCCTGTGTTTCACTGAAATGTATTTCTGATGCTGATACAGGCTCTAATTTTCTTCCCAGTGCCAGGTGGAGCTCAACAGGAAAGTACTTGCAGATCTAGCCATCTACGAACCAAAGACCTTTAAATCTTTGGCCGCTTTGGCCAAAAGGAGGCGACAGGAAGGATTTGCTGCTGCCTTGGGGGATGGGAAGGAGCCCGAAGGCATTTTTTCCAGGGTGGCACAGCACCTCTGAGGGGGATGCTGACACCCACTGACTGCCCTTTGAGGCTGAGCATCTTAAGAAAAGTTTTTTTCTTCCTCCATGTGATGATTATACTAAAATAGGGACTAAAAGTTATTTGTCAACAATGAGTAAGTTTGACTTGCATTTGTGTTAATTTACATTTCAGTAACAGGCCTGAGAGAAAAGGCCTTATCTTGCCTCTTTTGGCACAGGTTCAGAAATCTCACATGGATTGTGTAAATAAAATCTGTGTGAAATGCAAATTCAACGATTTGCGTTCTTTGTTACAAACACCTTGGGTCGGCCCTGCCTGAGTGCCCATGTGCTGGGTGGTAATTAGGGCAAGGCTTCCCCTAGGAACCCTAGATCCTCCTGCAGGCTGCGGGGTGACCTCCCCCTCCCCCTCCTTGGGTTTCCAGCAGGGACTCCCTGGTGCAGCTCTTCAGCCACTGAGCACCAGCTGGTTTCCCTCACTCCCCAGACCAGCAGGCAGGGTAGCTGTCCAGGTCCTGGGCTCGCCTTAGCCCCCCGCAGGCAGGGTGACCATCAAATCACCTGGGGAGCCTTAATGTAAGAGTCTCGGCCCCTCCCCCAAATACCTGACTTCATTAGTTCTGGAGTCAAGCCCAGAAATCTCCGACAGGGGCCGCCTCACAGCAGGTCTACCAGCCCTGCTTCCCTTACAGCCCTGTCCTCCCCCTCTGACCGCTCCCACGCAGAGGTGTCCACCCTCCTCTGTGGGCTGGAATGGAACTTGTGTGCCCCTCCTGCTCAGGAACAGGGCCTCCCCTTGGCCTTCTCCAGGAGCCTCGTCTGCATTCTGATCCCCTTCCAACTCTGGCCTCCTGTCACTGGGTCTGTGAGCAGCTCTGCCACGCCCTGACAGCTCTCACCAAAGCCGTCTCCTGGTCGCCAAGTCCAAGGGACACAGTCAGCCCTTGCCCCGGAGGACCATGCGCTCCCTTCCCTCCAGGACTCTGCCCTCCTTCCCCTCCCGCACACGCTCTGCTTTAGGAGAGCTCTTCAGGCCCACGAGAGCAGTTGCTGTCTGCTTGCTGATGACCCCTGCGTTTACCTGGCAATGCCTGCCTGGCAATGCCCGCCTGACCGCACTCCGAACCCCCATGCTGGGCCCTGTGGCGATGCCGTCCCCCACCCTTTGCCAGCCCTGCCCTGGAAGTCACCCCCCTCAGACAACACCCATCTCCAGCTCAGTACAGAGCCGGTCAAATCTTTTCACTCTGCCCACTTTCCTCCATCCTCATGCTGGTGAACATCTCTTCCAGCTGCAATTACTGCTCTGGCTTCTTAAGAGGCCCCTCCTCCTGGCCCTTGTCGCTGTGTCCAAACATGGCCACTGGACCAAGCACTTGGAGGCAGGTGCCTGAGTCCTGTTCTGCCATGCTGAGTGCAGTGCCTGACTACGCACCTTGTCAGAAAATGGTTCATATTGAAAACAACAGGGTGGAGGATACAAAGAGCTCTCTGGCGTGGCGGACCAAGTTCTGTGCAAGATGCACTGCTGTGAAGGAGCTGCCTTCTCTTCGTTCATCTTGATAAAGGCAGGTGGGCACGTGGCAGACAACTGTGGGCTGTTCCTGGCACCCCTGCCCTGGCCACAGAACCAGGTTTCCCTTTGTGCTGTGGCTGTGTCCCCAGCTCCAGAGACTGGCCCTGTCTAGAGCCATCAGCTTTTCCCTCTCCTCTGGCCAATCACTGTTAGGGGATGGACAGGCAGCCCAGGCAGGGCCCACGAGAAACAAGTTGTTTCCTGGAGTGTGCTGCTGTGGCCCGCAGAGAGGAAACCTCCCTGAGCTGCCGGCTGGGGTAGGGGAGGTGGGGTACTGTAGCCATGTTGCCCACAGAGGTGAAGACAGGACACTGGCACTTAGTTCGTACAGGTCTGAGCTGCAGGATCAAGTCTCAGCAGGAGTGAAGTCAATGGCAGCCACTGGGTTTGGGCAGGTTTGAGTTGGGTGCAATCACTGGCAGCTCCCAAGTGTTTGAACCTGCCCCCACCGAGGCTCCTACCTTGCAATTTCCTCTCCAACCTGCCCCCCACCCCAAGCTCCCCCTCACCCAGTCTTGCTTTCCCATCATCCTCACACAGGTTCTTTCACTGGTCCTGGTGAAAGTTTGGGATAACTGTTCAGCAACGGATAACTAGATAACTCAGATGCTGTCGCAGCTGAGGCGAGAGCAACACTGCTGTCAGCTGACGTAAAAACCACCAGAAGCTGGCGGTCGCTAATCCCGAGAACGCCTGATACAACAGATGAGGAAATGGAGGGTCATACCCCTGGATGGCTCCCCGCTGTTGTCAGGATAAAGTCCAAGTCCCTTCCCATGGCCCCCGGGGCATCCCAACCTGCTCCTTTCCTCCCAAACCTGGGGGAACTCATGCCTCTTGCAACTTTGTAGCTACTGTGGCTTTGTAGAAACATCGAATTAAACGTTTACAGCTACCCTCTCTCTCCTTTCTGGACTCTGCTCTGAAGGCGAGAACTTTGGGAATCTGGCGTTAATACTTGTACCCCAAAACCTGGACTCAGTAAAGGCTAGAGAGTAATTGACCGCGCCGGCGGCCACAAATTAACTCAGGGAAACAGCATCTCGTTGCTGCTGTGTGTGGGCTGGGGGACAACTTACTAGCACGTGCGCCCATCCTTTCAGGTCGGGGGCCTCGGAATACTCCGACAGCTCCATTCAAGCCCTGGACCACAGGCCCGAAGGACGCAATCCAGGCGGAAGGAGAGCCGCCTCCCGGCCCCGCCGCGCGGGTCCTCGGGGCAGGGGGCGTCCCGCCTGGCCCTGCCCACGCGGGGTCGCCCCCGGGCCCCCCGACACCCCTCAGCACCCGCCGGACCCCTAAGGAGCCTGGGGCTGCGGTGGGAACCTAGAGAGCTCCCGGGTCTTTGCACGGACTGCACGACCGGACCGGGTCGGTTACCCTATAAAACATGCCCGAGACTGGCACCTGCGACTAGTGCTTCCGGGTCGTGACCGAGACCGCGGTCTATCCCGGCGCCGCAGGGCCTCCTGGGTAACGAGCCCACTCCCGCCCGCGCCGGGTTCCGGCGTCCGCCGCGCCGCTGACGGACAGGCGGCCAAGCCAATCGAAGCAAGGGAACGCCGGGTGGCCCGCCGGTCGAACCAATGGCACGCGGCAGGGCGGGGCGGGGCGGTCGCGGCCGTAGTGCGTCGCGGGGAGCCGCCCTGTCGGGAAGGAGCCCAAAAGGGAGTCGGCGGCGCAAAATGGCGGCGGCGACGGCGACGGCGACGGCCGGGGCCGGGGCTCCGGGACCGGCGGCCCCCGCGGCAGCGGCCGGCACGCCGGCCTCCGGGGGCACAGCTCCCGGGTCGCAGGGGGTGCTAATCGGGGACCGGCTATACTCCGGGGTGCTCATCACTCTGGAGAACTGCCTCCTGCCGGACGACAAGCTCCGCTTCACGCCGTCCATGTCGAGTGGCCTCGACACTGACACGGAGACCGACCTCCGCGTGGTGGGCTGCGAGCTCATCCAGGCGGCCGGCATCCTGCTCCGCCTGCCGCAGGTGAGGGAGCGGCCGCGAGCCTTGGGCCGAGGTAACCGCCGCGCTGGCGCCGGGAAGGCTGCCGGCCCCTTTGTTGGCGGGGGGGCCTTATCCGGTGCCCGCTCCGTGTCCCCGCCCGGCACCCGGGCGCAGCGCCGATCCCCTCTTCGGACCCCGACCCCGCTCCTTATTCCCACCTGTCCCCGGGCCCACCGGCCGACCCAGGCCCAGGGAGTCCCCGCTGCCGCCCACCGGAGGTGATGAGGGAGGCGAGGCAGCGGGACGCGAAGAGCCTTTGTGGACGCGGAAGCATTTTAGTTTTTGATTCTTTGTTAGGAGTCTCGTGAAACCTAATAATTTAACTTTGAGACCTTTGAATTGGGTTTTGAAAAGGATGGAACCTTTCTCTTGTGCAGGTTGCCATGGCGACCGGGCAGGTGTTGTTCCAGCGGTTCTTCTATACAAAGTCCTTTGTGAAGCATTCCATGGAGGTGAGGCTTCCTCTCGTCTTTCTTTCCCCCAGAAACGTGTTGACAGGAAACCTGGGTTGGTTGCGTTGCCCGTTGCTCAGAGGAACGAGTACTTGTCTTCCAATGTCAGCGCTGTACTTGGGGGCTTGGGAAGCCCCCTGTACTGCAGAGGGTTTTTTTTCCAAGTGGCCTTTTTCTCAGGGTGCACGGCTCTTAACCGCCGTTCTTCAGCTGTTGGAGACTGTCGTCCTTGGAACAAACATCTCTGTGTTGCATCGCTTACGTTTCAGCACGTGTCAATGGCCTGTGTTCACTTGGCCTCCAAGATAGAAGAGGCTCCAAGACGGATACGGGACGTCATCAATGTGTTTCATCGCCTTCGACACCTGAGAGAGAAAAAGTGAGTCTTTATCAGACCTGTCGTAGATATCCGTCTCTGTTTTCACGGTTATTCAGTTACATTAACGTTTCTGAAACAAGGTTTAGGGGGTGAGGTTTTAAACCTGTGCCCAGGAGGAGGTGTGGTGCCTGTGGCGGGCATGGGGGGTGTACCCAACAGATGCTGTTTAATCAGTGAAGGAACCACAGTCAGGAGGACAGGGCGCTGTGGCTGTAGTTTGGCTGTGGCCTTGGTTTTGTGGTTTGCCCACGTCAGCCTGAATGCTCTAGAACTGGGTTCTCAACCTCAGCACTGTTTACATTTTGGGCTGCATGATTCTTTGCTGTGGGGACTGTCCTGTGCGTTGCAGGATATTTAGAAGCATCCTTGGCCCAGGCTTTCCAATGCTCTAGCTAATGGAGGGCCTTTGTAAAATGCAGCCTTGGCTGTTTAAATGCCATGCTTCTGTTGGTGTTTTGGTCTTCCCTTCATCCTCAATACATGTGCTTGTATCTTGAGGCGGATGGACGACATGTAGCCCTTGGCCCATGAGATAGTGAGACCCTCCACTCTGTTCTGTTGGCGTTTATCATCTGTAAAGAAAACAGGGAGAGGGTCATTGAGGC